AATTGCTGCTCATTGAATATCCCACATACTTCTGTAATTATACTTTTGCTTACTCTTATTCATAAACATCTTACTGAAATTTCCTTCCCACAATGTCTGTGGTCCAGAATCCCTTATCATTTTTAAGGAGCAGAGGAAATATCACCTTCTCTAACACATTCATAATACCTGCTTCACAGAATGAACATAATCTTTTGGTTCCCCCATAACTAGCCTAACACTTTGTGTGTTAAATTCTTGACCACTTTTTTCCTTTTCCTTTTCTTGACCACTTTGAAGAGGAGGGAAATAAGAGACACTTCAAACTCACTGGTCCATAGCAATTCTGAGATGCATGCAAACACATGCTGGCAGTTCCTTGGATAGAGCTTAGTTAGAAAAAGTCACTATTGCTCTCAGATCCACCCTCTGGATTCTTGGTTCCTCCCTGCGTGTCATCTAGCTGATGTTTATAGCTAAGTAGTTTTATGTGGATCTCATAAACACTTTTTTTTTTTTGAGATGGACTCTTGTTCCGTTACCCAGGCTGGAGTGCAGTGGCATGATCTTGGCTCACAGCAACCTCCACCTACCGGGTTTAAGCAATTTTCCTACCTCAGCCTCCCCAGTAGCTGGGAATACAGGCATGCACCATGATGCCCTGCTAATTTTTGTATTTTTAGTAGAGATGGGGTTTCACCATATTTATCAGGCTGGTCTTGAACTCCTGACCTCATGATACTCCTACCTTAGCCTCCCAAAGAGCTGGGATTACAGGTGTGAGCCACCTCGCCAGGCTACCTTTTTTTTATTTTATCCTGTCTTTTTCTTTTCGAAACTGGTGGCAGCTTTGCCAATACTGCTCTCTTAAAAATCTTGTGGAATTCTTGTGAATCTCATTGTACTTGATTTCTTTATATAAAAGCCCTTCCCATCTATCTCAATACTAGCCATTTTTTATATAGGGCTTCCTATAATACAGCTATGGGACAATGTCCTTAAGATTATTAGATGTGCCAATGTGTAATAAAGAATATATTTGAGACATATGTATCACAACCTTACAGGAATTTTCTTTTCTCTTTGAGGTAGCTCCTTGACAGTTTTTGAAGTCTTGAAAAAATATTTTACAATGCCCTTGGCTTTATCTTTAGATGATATTTTCCTAACAGCATGCTGGTTTGGATTATTGCTGTGATAGCATTTCTTATTCTGACAGTCTTGGAAAGGGTAAGAATGAATCTCACACATTTTGATAGGCTGTGTTTTCATTTTCATTGGTTTAAATACATTTCTAATTTCCCCTTTGATCTCCTCTTTGCCCTCTGGGTTGCTTAGAAATGTGATTTTTGAGTTTCACATATTTGGGGGAATCTACAGATATTTTTCTGCTTTTCGTTTTTACTTTACTTCTGTTGCATTTGGGAAATACACTCTGTGTCATGTCAGTAGTCTTAAATTAATGAGACTTAGCTTATGTGTCATCATGTGCTGCATCTTTTAAAATATTTCACGTGTACCTGAAGAGCATGTGTATTCTGATGCTGGTTGATGAAGTGTTATACAAATGTACATTAGGTCAAGTGTACTAAGAGTGTTGATTAGATCTTCTATATCCTTACTACTTTGTATTTTACTTTGGTTTACTGCTTCTGTTAATAATAGAAACAAAAGAGTTAATATCTCCAAACATAATTGCAGATTTGTTTATTTATCCTTTAAATATCTCAGTTTTGTTTTGTGTACCTTGAGTTTCTTTTATAAGGTGGGCATGTATGTCTCCTTGGAGAATTGAACCTTTTATTATAATGCAATGTCCTTTATCTCAGTTGATACTCCATGCTTTGAAGCATCCACTTTCAACCCACTCCAACTGTTTCATGATTAACATTTGCATGATATATCTTTTCCCATCATTGTACTTTTAACCTAGTTGTGTTTTTATATTTAAAACAAATCTGTTAAAAGCATATAGTGAATCTTGTATGTGTGTTTTCTAGACGGACAATTTAAATCGGAGTGTTTCATGCATTTGCATTTAAAGTAATTATTGATGTAAAGGGTATACATCCTGTCATTTCTCCTACTATTTGACCCATCTATTCTTTGCTTTCCTTTGCTTTTTTCCTTGCCTCTTTTGGATTAGTAAGTGGGGTGTGTGTGTGTGTGTGTGTGTGTGTGTGTGTGTGTGTGTATTCTATTTTACCTTGATTATTATCTCATTAACAATACTTTTGACTTAGTTTTAGAGGTGGGTCTATGATTTGCAGCATACAAAACGAAGACCATATCACAATCTCTATCAAAAGAGCAATATTACATACCACTTCATATATTAGGTGAGAGATCTATAACAACATACTTTCACTGCTCCTCATCCTTTATTCACTGTTGTCATATATTTTATTTCATTTTGCATATACCTTACCATATATTGCCACTGTTTTGTTTTACGGTTCAATTTTTTAAAACAAGTTTTAAAAGTCTTTATTTTTACCAGCATATTTCCTACTTCCATGGCTTTCATTTTGAAGTGTAATCCAAATTTCCATCTGACATTTTTCTCCTTTAGTCTGTAGAACTTTATTTGCCATTTATTTCAGTGCAAGTTTGTGGTGCTGAAATCCTCTTTTGTTTATTTTAAAATGTCTTTATTGCAACATTATTTTTAAAAAATGTTCACTGGTTATAGAATTCTAGATTGACATGTTATCTTTTCTTTCAGTATCTTTCAGATAGAATTTCAATACCTTCTGGCTTGCATTGTCTTTTTTGTAAGACACACAATATTTCTTACTTATGTTTTCCTTCTATTCATGGTATACTATACTTAGTGTTTTGTTGCTTTTTAAAGTTTTCTCAGACCTGGAAGAGTGGTTCAGGTCTATAACCCCAGCTCTTCGGGAAGCTGAGATGGACAGATCATTTGAGGCCAGGAGTTTGAGAGTAGCCTGGCCAACACAGCAAAAGCCCATCTCTACTAAAAATACAAAAAAAAAAAAAAAAAAAATTCAGCTGGGCATGGTAGATCATGCCTGTAACTCCATCTGCTTGGAAGGCTGAGGCACAAGAATCACTTGAATTCAGTAGGTGGAGGCTGAAGTGACCCAAGATTGTGCCACTGAACTCCTGAACTCCAGCCTGGGTGACAGAGTAAGATTCTGTCTCACAAAAAAAAAAAAAAAAAAAAAAAAAAAAAAATTTGCTTCTAATTGTTTTTTTTTTCCAGAGATATGTCCATGATAGTTCTTTTTTGTTTTTTTTGTTGTTGTTGTTGTATATATGTTCAATCTGCTTACAATTTATCAAATGCTTAGGATCTAAGAGTTATTTTCAGCAAATTTGGAAAATTTGGGGCTATTTCTTCATATATGTTTTCTATCCCAATTTCTTTCTCCTTTCTTCCTAAGATTCCAATTACACGTATGTGAGAACATTTGATATTGCCCCACTATCTTTAAAACTGTCATTATTTAACATTTCAGCATTTTTATTATATGTGCTTCATTTTTATTATTTCTTACTGCAATTTCCTCAGATTTTCTGATAGTTGCCACAGTATCCAATTTACTAATTAGTTAAGTGATTAACCAATTTTAGATATTTTAGGTTTTAAGGTCTGGAATTTCCATGTAAACATTTGTTACAAATACCATTTGTCTACTGAGATTCCCCATCTGTTCACTCATTATGCTCAGTATTTCCTTTATATTTGTCTGCTAATTCCAATACCTTTGTCTTCTCTGGGTCTATAATTAATGACTTTGAAAATTCATTAGTTATTGGTCACAAGTTTTTATATCCAGTAATTAAAATGAGAATTATGGTGGATATTGTGAATTATCACTTTATCAAAAGCCAAGATTTTTTTAATGAGTGACAGTTCTTTTTTATGAGTAGACAGTTTACTAATAGTTTTGCTTCATTTTCCAATGGTCTGTAAAAGCTTTGTAAAGGTGGATATAAAGTCAGTGTTACAGGTCTAAAGTAGATTCACTTTACTGCACTCTGAGATCTCAGATAAATGCCTGGTTTTTCAGTGAGGTCTGTGTGTGCTGCTTGGTATTCCTCCAAGAACTTAAGGAGAAAATTATGTATGTTTCCATGGCTGCTTCTCACCACCACTTCTTTCTGTGCTTTTCCCTTTCCTGTACATGCAGACTACCTGGCAGCCTTGAACTCTTAATTTCTGACTACACATCTCAGTGAGATCACTGTTCTCTGCTTGGCCAGCACATCTCAGCATCATTTCTAGAAAGTGCCTCCAGGCAAAAGGCTAGAGCCATCAGGAAACTCACTTTATGTGTTTTCGTTCTTTTAAGTATCACAGCCCTATAGTGCCTGTGTTTCATTTTTATAGTTGTTTATGGTGGAAAGGTCATTCCGATGATATCAGTTACTCTGTAAGAAATGAAAGTTGCTCTTGACAATATTTTACTTTGCATTGTAGTTATTCTTGTATATGTCTTTTTCAGGAAACCAGAAGCACCCTGAGGGCAGAGTTCATGCATTCTTTATCTTTTTTTTTTTTTCCAGAGAATTCTACACAGCCTATATGCTATTTATTATATTCGTTATTTAATTTGATTAAATATTTGATGAGTAAATCTTTAGAAAAATAAAATGAATGAAACAAAACACTTCATGAATTTTAAGAATAATTTTAAAGGCCACAAAATCCATTACACAGACTGATTTTTTTCCACTCATCAGTTCTTTTATTTTCTGCAACAATCACAGGAATACCTAAGTTCCTCATACTACATTCTTCCCCTGCTGATTCACAAATTTATTATAATCAGAAAGCATGTGAAAAATTGAGAAACAGGAGAAAACAATCATAGACTGTCATTGGTAATAGGAGTAATTATTAGGAGTCAATTCCAGCATTCCTTTTTATCTTTTGAGTTGCTTTGCGGATTGTCATTCTCTGTAGCTACTGAACAGTCCAGCTAGAATTTTCTTGGTCACACAGGCAAAGATGATGTTTGGAGTTTAGAGGTCAAGAAAACCCTGATGACTGTACTTAAGCATGTTTTTGTTTAACTCGTGGACAAAGACTTATGGATAGGTGGAAAAAATAAATCTTCTTTTGCAACCCAGGATTCATTGTTCAGTATGATTTTTGATATATGTAAGAAGGGACATTATGATACCTGAGACAGTTAGCTGATGGGAGTATTGATAACCACAGAGGCTGATTCCAGGCCAGACTCAGTGGCTCATGTTTGCGATTCCCACACTTTGGGAGACTGAGGTGGGAGGATTGATTGAAGCCAGGAGTTCAAGACCAGCCTGGGCAAGAAAGTAACACCTTATCTCCACAAAATTTTTTAAATTAGCTGGGTATAAGGGTTTGTGCTTATACTTGCAGCCTCTCAGGAAATGGAGGCTAAGGCAGGAGGATTGAGCCCAGGAGTTGGTGGCTGCACAGAGTTTTGATAGTACTACTGTACTCTTATCTGGGCAACAAAGATATACCCTGACTTTAATTTAAAAAGGTTGACTCTAGATCTATAGAAGAGATAGCTAAAGGATGGAACATGAGGGAAATCCTCATCTGTATTTATTTTGCATTTCAATTTCATATTGACCTGATACATAAGATGGCATGTTGTTTTAAAAACTTTTATCTTGAGAACATAATGTCTGGAGTTAAAGATACTGCCATATTCCACACATCTGTACTATTCTTGAGTGTGATGATCGCTTAGGGTGTCAAACTGAGAACCAGGCAGATCCATCTATACCAAAAATGACCCTAAAGTAAATTAGTTGAAAAAAAATTAGACCTCAAAGATTCTTGGTTTTTCCATAGGCAATTTTAAATTCTTCAACAGTATGCCCATATAAAAAGGAGATGAAAGAAACCAAAATAAAAGAATTATGGGCTGACAGGACAACTGGATTAAAATAAGCATCAATTTCATTACAAGAAGCTAACTTGAAGATAAATCTTTTGAAGATAAATGTTGACACCAATTCTTTACAGGAGCTAAAGTGGCCTTGATGGACAGTGGAAGAAATCACAACATGGAATTACTCGAATAAAAATTGATTGACTTTAAATAATTTTGCCTAATGTGACATATACACAATTAAAAAAAAACCCCTTTACATTGTTAAGGAAGAAAGAAAGATAGAAAGAAAGAAAGAAAGAAAGAAAGAAAGAAAGAAAGAAAGAAAGAAAGAAAGAAAGAAAGAGAAAGAAAGAAAGAAAGAAAGAAAGAAAGAAAGAGAAAGAAAGAAAGAAAGAAAGAAAGAAAGAAAGAAAGAAAGAAAGAAAGAAAGAAAGAAAGAAACCTTGATGAAGCTGCACCTGTTTAGGGCACAGGAGGACACACGTGTTTCACGTAATAAGGGTCAAATCAAGAGTCTGCTTCACTGGAACACAGGTATTTTCCTTTAAGGTGGAAGATGAACTTTATTTTCATTTTCACTTTTTAAGTTTCTCAACGTTATTTATAGATGAGAAGCTAGAAGTAAAGGTTGTAGCATCATATTATATCATTTCTAGAAAATGACTGAGCTTCCCAGCAAGGAATTGCCCTAGTGATTTTTAAATGATTCTAATTCATTGAGTTAATGAACTGTTTCTTCTCTGTGATTTTCTCCCTCATCTGCTTGAGCATTTTGCTAATTCTCATCCATGTGTAATTCCCAGTCTCTCATCTCTTCTCCTGTTCTTAGATACGTCCTGTAAACTCGGAGGTCACGCTCACCCCACGTGCTCCCCAGCTTACCCGGATCCTCCGTTCTGTTCCTTAGTCAACGCTTGCCGACCTCCCTGTAAATCCCACACAGAAATTGTCCTTTATACCTGCTGACCTCCTGAATCCAAAAGCTACATTTTCCTCTGCCTGCCAAAATCTTTCACTGGGTATCTGGAGAACGTTTTCCTTTATGTGTCAATTGTGAGCCAAATGAGAACAAACACTATATTGTTTTCGCTTTTGCCCTTTCTACCCATTCTGCAAACTACCCTATGTGACAGCTTTGTAGAATTGAAACTCACAAATTGTTCTGGCCCTTTTTCATCCTGTTTGCCCTCCCAACCTAGTCACTTTTCTAAAGATTCTGCGCTACATGTCCTGGATATCCTTCCTGGACATCTGATGGGCCCTGGTGTCTCTCCCTGTCATTAATCTTGCATGTGACTTCCACAGAATTGATATTTTTTAACTTGGGTAGCAACGATGTCATTTTCTGTTTTAAAAATTCCAGAAAGAACTTCAGTGCATGTCTGTCATTAAATACATGCACCTTAGTCCAAAGTATTCTTCCTTAAAACAGGGCTATCCCTTTTTTCTTTTGCTCTGCTCTGTCTCCTATGTTTCTTGTGCTATAACGCAAGTGAACTCTAAGCAGGTTTTTTAGTATCTGGTCCATTTGCCCAGCCCTGCGCCATGGTTTATGCTGTTCTGTGTACCAGACATGTTCTCCCTTTCCTCCTTCCTTTTATATCAACCTGCCAACATCTTACCCAGCCTTTACAACTGCCTAATTTTCCTAACGTCTTTAGTGACAAGGACAGCTAGAAACACTTTTTCGCCCCTCTTTGAAATTCTGTGTTCCATTATTAGTACTTCTACAGGGATGCTTGTTCATTTAGACAAATGTTTACTGAAACTTTACATGAATTGCTGTGCTTTTATTACTTGTGTACTTTTATTGTGATTTTCTGAGCTTAGTTAATACTTCCTTGAAGAAACGTATTGGTTTTACTCCTGTTTCAGTGTCTGACTTATAGCGGTTATCACAGTAGATGTGGCACTGTAGTTACTGCCAGTCTTATCTCTCAAGGATAAAGCCTTATCTTGGGAACCCTCAAAATGGCAAGGTGTTCATTCTCGCCACATTTCCCTCCATATTCATGGTCTGCATCAACCTGGAATCATGTATTCTGCCATCTGTCCCTTTCCTTGAAAGTCCTGCTGGCTGTGAAAACAGCTGAGATTTACTAATGGGTTAATGTGTCACTTCTCCCCTAATTAAAACTATTGGTATTTTACAGGAACTTGGCCTAGATAAGGGGTGACTCAACTGTAGAGAATTTCTGGCTGACGGGTGGGCTGATAGGGGTGATATTTTGGGGCTGGAACAGTTTTCAATGCCTGGTAAGTGGCTGACAAATTTATCTGTGTCTGAGAGATAACACAGGAGATTCCCATAAACATGTGCCCGTGTACTCACTCACAAGTGTATCAGAGCTCTGCAATCCTACAAGTGCCAGGTTCCTAAGAACAGCTAAGGGGGAGCTGCAGGCTCATCTACCTTTGTTTCTCAGGGAACCAATGAGGGCTCAGCAGTTGCATGAGTCTGGATTCGTCCAAGATTACTTTTTATTCTAAATCACATCCTCATTTTATCTTAGTTAAACACGGAGGAAAATCGGTTAAGGAACCTCCAGCATCTAATGAGAATATTAATATTTTAAGATCCCACCTCTACCTTTAATGCTAACTTTACCTTTGTCTGTAGACTTTATCCCACTTTCCCTGGGCCCATAATAACAATGGAATATTTTTATAGTAATAGAATATTTATCTACGAGTTAGGGGAATGATTGGACCCTCAATATTTTGCTGTAGAAGACCGAGTACCTTCCTGCTCTAAAACCTGATGAAATCTACTCTTCTGAGAAAAACTAAAGGCATGTTCTAATAAAAAACCTTTTGATTAGTGCTGCTCTTTTTATAGATGTGAAGTGGTATTGCTGGTGGTGGTGTCTCATGCATTCTTTCAGACACGTGTTTTACATAAATGCACTAAATAAAACAAGGTAATTTTCTTTCTCTGTCTACACATACAAATGCACATGCATACACTCATGCTTTTGGCAATCAAAAATACAATATTTTAGATAATTTGGTGACAGAGGTCAGCAAGTTAACTCAGAAAATATAAAAAACTCTTCTTTCAGACCTGTTAAATAACATTTTCTATGAAAATAACATTGTGGTAAATTGATATGGTAGGCAGGAAATGACAGACATTCCTTTATAATAGATCACTACATATCTGATAGATACGTCTGATTGGCTCACATGGTTTTACTGTAGTCCTCAATCTTGAGTCAGTTCTGTTGCAGCTAGAAATTATAAGGTTCATGAGTGACAGATAAAAAATTATATGTCAATAGTCACTTAGATGAATGATTTTTTTAAAAATCTTTTTAAAAAATATTTTAGAAAGTTACTACTGTCTACAATTATAACTAAACGTGTCACTGAGAAATAAGTACACAAAAATATACCCCATAAAAAGGAATTAAGCTAACATTTAAGTTGAATAATATGAATAAATAATAAGATTTATAAAGAATATAGTCATCCACACACGTATAGTTTTCATGGTAGTATAGCTTTAAAAATATTAGGAAAAGGTCCAGCAAAGTTACGATGGTGTCTTACCAATACAAAGACAGTTTGGATTTTTGTTGAAAACAAAATCAAATAAAACGGAAGTTAAATTATAAGAAGAATGCAAGCACACAACCGCATGAGTGAAAAGATTTCATTAAGACACTTATAATTCCATGAGTATCCAGATTTTAATAGTTTTGTACATCTTGTGAACACAGATTTTTTATTTCCTCTCCACAAAAGATAATGTATAAACTAAAATGGGGGTAAAATATGAAAAATAAGAACATAAAGTAGAATCAAACTTTTTTTATTCATTTATTCATTCAACAGATATTAATAAATATCCACTATTTACCTGGAATTTCATGTTATTTTTATAATACCTATTATAAATTCCAGTAAGAAAGTCCTCTCAATTATTATTTTTTAATTGAAGAAATAGTGATATCCTTTAGATTTGTGTCCCCCACTGAATCTCATATTAAATTGTAATCCTCAGTGTTGGAGATGGGGTCTGGTGGATAATGATTGGATCATAAAAGTGGATTTCTCACAAAAGGTTTAGCACTATCCCCTTGGTAATGTCTTTGCAACAGTGAGTTTCTCCAGAGAGCTGGCGATGAAAGTATATGGCCCTCCCCTCTCAGTCTTGCCCCTGCTCTCACCAGAGTTTTCTGCCATGATTGGAATCCTCCTGAGGCTTTCCCACAAGCAGATGCTGTCATGCTTCCCGTACAACCTGCAGAACTGTGTGCCAAAGAAACCTCTTTTCTTTTAAATT